GTACATTAACAGTAAAATATAATCAACCAATTCATAGAATATTAATAATTTCAAGTCATGAAACAATATATTCGATTAATGGCTGTAATTATTTCTAGTAATAACTCTTATAACTCTTTTCTGAAAAATAAAAATAGGATTTGTGATAGTTTTACAAGCTTTACCCCATACCTCAATACAGAATATTAAATGAGGAACAATTATAGCGTTATATAACATAAATAGTGCTTTATCATAAAACATTACTGTTTTGTCTGAATCCTATTTTTATGTAAATTTATTGAGTAATTTTTTATGTCATTTTAAAGAGGAAACCTGAAATAGTATTTGTATATTAAGATTTCTCAGTTGGAAAGAAACCAAAACTTTGCGAGCTCACAGGGAAAAATTCTAAATTTTAAGTTGTTTTAGTAAAAATTAGTGTTTTTTTTTGTTGCTACTGCTAAAAAATGCTTCAAAGTTTTTTTAGTATTATATTTCAGACAGTTCATTCAAATAATACATTGATAAGATTCATTATGTTTTGATAAAATGCAATTTTTATAGACGTTTTAATCAAAACCCTATATTTGCCTGTTTCTCCACTTTTGGACTTAATCCTCGTTTTGATGTGATGGGTCAGAGCAGAGAGTTCAGGCGTTGATGCTTTCAGTGAGTTACTGAAGTATATTTGTGCAGAACAGTCACAGTAAAACTGCAGACGTTATAAATGTGTTTTGTTCTCTCCACCAGGTATATGGGCCCAGACCAGGGTAACCAGTCTAAGTGCTAACGAGGGTCAGAGGGTGGTTCTGAAGGCCTTGTACAAGCCGGACTCTGTCGTTGACCTGAGCACCAAGACTGTCGTCTGGAACTATAAGGCGAACAACAACAACAACACCCAGCTGGTGAGCAGAGCCGTGTCATGTTTCTGTAGAGTCTGAAACACTGAACCCAGAGAGGACGGGACGGTGGAGCTAGTCTCCCCTCCTTGATCAAACACCCCAGGTCTTCACACACTTTCCCACAGTGGAAATGTGTGCAGACTGCAGTGATCTTACAGCGACACCTAGAGGCCGAGCTGCAGAACTGTTCTGATGTGACACCAGGTCCTGACGCCTCAGGGTCTGAACATTCAGTTTAAACAGAGTTTGATCTTTATTCTGAGGGTCAGAGATTTTATCTTCATGTCTGTTTCTGCTTTGTTGTCAAATTAAAGTTAAAAAGAGTTGTGAATGATGATTACAAAGACCTTTGAATTAGTT